GTGTGTGTGTGTGTGTGTGTGTGTGTGTGTGAGTGTGTGTGTGTGTGTGTGTGTCTGTGTGTGTGAGAGTCTGGAGCAGATCTGATATCTGACTGTGTTCATCTCTCTGACGCTGCTGAAATCAAAGACACTATTTTCTGCTGTGTCTGGAAGTGTTTGTGGGTTTGACTTCACTCGTCTCAGTTCCTGTGTGTTAGTTTGCGTACTTCTGCTACCGGTGCAGATGCTGGCAGTTTATAGTCCGGTGTGATTTACGTGAAGCTCACAGACAGCGAGAGTGTGTCTGATTCTGTAATAACAGGTTTAAGTTCATAAGAGGGTTGTTGAGGTTCATTTGACTACACACACACACACACACAGATGTTTGAGATGGCTTTTAGAGCGAATCTGTCTTACTTTCATTTCTGTCTCTGCTCTTTGTATAAGAATGTTTCTCTTGGTTTTTATGGTTGATGATGAAACTTCCTCCAAACTCACTGAAGATTTTATGACTGCTAGTGTGTGTGTGTGTCTGTCTGTGAGTGTGTGTGTGTCTGTGAGTGTGTCTGTGAGTGTGAAACAGAGAGGCGTTTGATGTTTGGGTTTCTGCCTGCTGATGTGGATGTGGAGGTAGGCAGAGGTTGGGTGTGTAAATGGGTGAAACCACAGCTGGGTGGAGCGCACTCAGCGCAGGCGTGTTTGGTCCCGCTCTCGTCCTCGTTGAGTCATCACAGGCCCAATGAGTGCTGTTTACCCTGCGGTCAGTCTGAATGTCATTGTGTTTCGGCCGTGGCATTCAAAACAGCGTGTGCACAGGTGCTGCTCTCGTCCTGCACTGCCGAACACCTGTCTGTATTGTGTTCTATTTTTCTGCAATTTATATTGTATAATATTTTGAATTAGATTTAATTTTTTATATTTTAAGTTTTCATTTCAATTTTAGTTTATGTTTGAGTAATTTTATCATTTTTATCATTTTTTTTTAATATTTCGATTTAGCTTAATTTTTATTTTACTACTGTGTGTCTGTGAGTGTCTGTAGTGGTTAAACGGATCGTAGTTGATCCGTGATCCGTACGGACCAAGCCCTACGGTTCGGCATGCATGTGATCCACGGAGTAATTGCAAAATTTTAACATAATAGAGTATAAGTTTATAATTTGTTCGTATTTACGCAAGCAAGCAAATTTTAAACAATTCCAGAGAGAAAAGGCGAAAGGGAACTCGATTCGTTACTCGCGCGCTGTTCTCTACGCGCACAGCCGCACACGCGTCTCAGACGGCGCACGAACACCGAACTGAATCCTCTTCTGAATCCTCTGAACAGACACATACACATAAAATTATGACAAAATACCCATCTCGAAAAT